GGAGGTATATAGCTAAAAGTCAGTTTACATTTAGTCTACATGTGACTTTGGGGATATTTCTTCATAACCAAACAAAAGTGTATTTTCTGTGCAGTTCACACCCCTTGCTTGCTGGATCTAGATGTTACAAAGCAAAGCCCACATTTTGTAATTAACCTCCATGCCCCATTTTGGCTGGCAGAGTGCTGCAGGAGGCAGAGTGCTGTCATACCCACCCTGGCCACGTTCCCAGCCATGCCCCTTCCTGGTCCTCTGAGGTCAAACACAATCCTGATGCGGCCCTCAGTGAAATCGAGGTTGACACCCCTAGCCTATATACTCAGACATTAGCAATAGCAGTTAGACTTATATACCGCTTCATAGGGCTTTCAGCCCTCTCTAAGCGGTTTACAGAGTCAGCATATTGCCCCCAACAACAATCCGGGTCCTCATTACCTTAGTAAGTCTTCGGTCCTTGGTTAGAACTTGAACTGTTTTTTACCAATATCAGACTATAAATTGAATTGAAGATTTAAATCTATAATAATAATAACAATAACAACAACAACAATAATAAATCATTGTAGCATCATTCTCATCCCACCAAGGAGCTTTATCTTGTGTGGGGGGGGGAGGGGACTTGTGTGCTATGTAGAAGAGCCAGACTAAACCCATTTAACTATTGTTAAAACACATCAAGTGAATTCTATCCTGGATCAAATGTCACCTGGCTCAATAAGTTTTGAGTTGAATACCATGGCTTCTGGGTGTTCAGTAAAAAATATGTCATAGCGTCAGCTCCCTCTGCTAGGCATCCATGGCATGGAATTGACATATGACTGAAAGACAAATGAAAAAAAAAGAAAAATGGACAACGGAAGAAAATTATTTAATTATGGAAAATCTGAGCCAACAAAACATGGATTTCAAAAGCACATGTTCAAGATTTGGAAAGAGAATCATCTGGATATGGAAATCAATGAACAAAGACTTATGGAGCTGAGGTGTGTTATTTTGAAGCATAAGCTCTTCACTAATACAGAATTACAAGAGATTGTAAACAGCAGTGCAAGATCAAGGCTCAAATATAACTGATAATAGATATAATTTAGAAGTGGAGCAACAAGTAGTGGAGAAATGGAAGGAAATCAGAGAAGTGGATGAGGAACAAGATGCTTAGACATTTTTGGAATTAGTAGCAACATACAGAAATTCCCAAAGACTTCCATGAAGCTGTGGCAAACTTGATGGACTGTGGAGAAAAACTTGGTGAAGTTAAAATCAAACTAGAAATCTTCCAAGGTGACTCACTGTTACCTCTGGCTTTTGTACTTTTGATGGCACACCTACAGAGATGGTATTCAGCCAATTTGGACTGAATTTGGTTCGGGTGAACTGGTAGTGGAAATTTTGAGTAGTTCGGAGAACTGGTAAATACCACCTCTGGTTGGCCCCGCCCTCCCACTCCCATTGTTCCCTGTCCTATCTTCTCTTGTTTTTTACCTCAGCTGATTTGCGGGACAGAGCGGATTGCCGTGCTTCAGCTAAGCTGAAAAACAGTTCGGCTTACTGGCCCTGACACAGAGGGTGGTCTTTGAGAGCTGCATGTGCGCACAAAGTGCTCTCTCATAAAACCAGTAGGAAAAGATTAGGAATCCCACCACTGCACACCTAACAAGCATTTTGAACAAGACAAACTTGTGGCTATGAATTAGCTAAAAAAAAGGGTTGGCAATTTCCCATTTGCTCTACATGGATGATTTAAAACTATTTGGAAAAACAAATGCTGAATTGAGCTCACTGCTGAAAATCACTGAGGAAGTAGAAAATTCGACTTGAAAATAGAAGTATGAGGAGATGTCAGCAATTTGAAATACCCTATTTTTCACATCATAAGACACCTCGGCCCATAAGACACACATTAGTTTTAGAGGAGGAAAACAAGGGGAAAAATTTCCCTCTACCTCCCAGTGTCCAGCTGGTATTCATCTGGCTAGCGTCTTTGCAGTAAACAGCAAACAGCCTAGTCAGCTTCAGCACATTATCATAGCTCCAGCACGTAACTCATCAGGACTCCGCACCGTTGTGCCCATCACTGGTCTACTGAGCTGAACTGCTGCCGTCGCCAGGGAACACTGGAGCCTTCACTGCCAAGCAGCTGATCGGAAGTTGGAGCCATGTATTGGGCCTGCAATAATGTGCTGAAGCGGACCAGGCTGTTTGCTGTTTACTGCAAAGACACTAGCCAGATGAATACTGGATGAACGCTGAGAGGCAGAGGCAGATTCCTCCCCCCCCTTTGTTTTCCTCCTCTAAAGCTAATGTGCATCCTATGGTCTGGTGCATCTTATAGTGCAAAAAATATGGCAGTAAATGGCGGCAGCAGTGATAGGTGGCGGAATTAGTAACCCACCAAATATTCGATCTATAAGATGCACAGACATTTCTACCCACTTTTGAGGGGGGTGCATTTTACAGTGCAATAAATATGGTACTTGAAAGAAGAAAAATTTAAGAATGAAAAGCTGAAAAATAGTTTATACAAAAAAGACAACCTGGAGAAAAAAATTAACAGAAATCATGGAAGAACTAAAACAGCATGTAATAGCAACAGCAAAGAAAATCAAAAGATAGAAAGGATGAATAAAACAATATCATGAAAATATCCAGTTCAGAAGAAACCAACACACCTTCTACCAGTTACTTGATGAAATCGAGTCCAAACCAGTGTTCACACCCATTTAAAGAAAAAACTTTGAACTTTTGGAAAGAACTGTGAGAAAACCCAGTGGAACACAATAAAACTGCCTCCTGTATCAAAGATATTCAAAAACAAGCAACACAAAATAAAATGGAGAATATTGTAATAAGAACTGATATGTTTGCAAAACAAGTAAAGAAGGTCAAGAACTGGAGTGCACCTGGCCTGGACAAACTGCATGGATACTGGCTAAAACATCTGACCAGCCTCCATCACTACATGGCCACTCAATTTGATGAAATGCTTCAGAATGCAACAAGCAAAAAATGGTTAACAGCTGGTCGAACATACTTGATAATGAAAAATCCAGAAAAGAGCACAGAACCAAGCAACTGCCACCCAATTACTTGTCTGCCAACAACGTTCAAACTTTTTACAAGAATACTGACAAATTCATTATTCAATCATCTGATGGAAAACAGTTTGTATCTGGTAGAACAAAAAGGAAATTATAAAAATCAAAAGGAACAAAAGATCAGCTGCTTATTAACAAAATGGTACTAAAAATGCAAAACAAAAGAAAACAAATTGAAACATAGCACAGATTGATTACAGGAAGGCATTTGACTCATTACTCCACAGCTGGATTAACGCCTGTTTGAATACTTTGGAATCAGCAAAAATATCTGTACATTTTTTATACCAAAAATGGTAAACAGTTCTAACAGCAAATGCGGAGAACATTGGTGAAGTCAACATCAGATGAGGAATCTTCCAAGGGGACTCACTTTCGCCACTACTGTTCAACATCACATTTATTCCATTGACAATAATCCTACAAAACACAAAACTGGGACACCAAATCTCAAGCCAACATGGCAAGATAAACCATCTACTATACATGGATGACTTAAAATGTATGCAAAAAGCACCACTGAACTCGAATCAATACTCAACACAGTTCAGCAGTGACATCAGAATGAACTTTGGACTTGAAAAATCTGCTATATCATCCATGCACGAAAAAAAATGGAAAAAATAGAAGGACTAGAATTGGGAAATGAAAGCATTAGCAAAGGATGATGGTTATAAATACCTAGGCATATTGGAAGCAGATAACATCTTAAATGGAAAAGTCAAAGAATCAACGCAAAAGAAATATATCAGGAGAGTCCAAAAAATATTAAAATCAAAGCTGAATGCTGGAAACATAATTAAAGCCATTAATACATGGGCAGTTCCAGTGATATGCTACCCAGCTGGAATCATCAACTGGGCTTTGATTGAACTGGAAAACCTGGACCAGAAAACACGTAAACTTTTGAATATGTACCACACTTTACATCCATGAAGTGACATTGACAGGTTGTACCTGCCAAGAAGAATAGGGGGCAGAGAGCTGTTGCAAATCCATCAAACTGTAGAAGAAGAAAAACGAAGTTTGAATGACTGTGTGAATCAAAATGCAGAAAAATTGCTGCAGACTGGGAATATGGAGAACATTATAAAAACAACAGAAACAAAGGCAGAATATAAGAAAAAAACAGTTGGATGACAGATTTGCATAGACAGCACTTGAAAAACATTAAAGGAAAATGTGATAACAACTTGACATGGGCATTGCTTAAGATGGGAACCATCAAGAAAGAAACAGAAGATTTAATACTGGCTGCTCAAGAACAAGCACTACAAACTAAGGCCATGAAAGCAAAGATACAAAAAAATCCACTGACAATCCAAACTGCCGCTTTGCAGCAACAAAGTTGAAGCTTTTTTACATTTAATACATGAGGGCAGCAAAATCATAAAAACTGATTACAAAGCTAGACCGAGTTGCTAAATTAATCTACTAGTCATTATGTAAAGAATAGGACTTACCTGTATCCAGAAAGTCATGAGAACATAAAATGAAAAAAAATTGTCAAAAAGGAGAAGGTGAAGATCTTCTGAGACTTTCGAATATAGACAGATTATCATTTGCAACACAGATCTCTCAATTGTTGAAAACCAAAACATACAATTTATTGATATCACTGTACCAGGAGATGCCAGAGTCGAAGAAAAAAAATTGGAAAAAAACATGAAATATCATGACCTGGCCATCGAAACTATGTGATTAGGGATGACACATGTAACCTATTGTCATTGGAGCACTTGGTACCATGACCAAGAATTTTATAAAATACAATAAAAAATTGCAGCTTCCTGCAATAACATCAGCATGGTTGTACCAATAGTAATAGGAGCCCTTGGAGCAATAGCCAAAGGGTTGCCTAGATATATGGAAATTTTGAACTTATCAGACCTGAATATTCTGACACTGCAAAAAACCACCTTACTTGGAACTGCTTATATACTCAGACATTATGTTAATAGCTCTTAGGTCCTTGTTTAGGACTTGAACTATTAGGTTTTTACCAGTTCCAAACCATGAAGTGAATTGAAAATTAAATGTTTAATAATAACAATATGTTGGCTTGTATTCAATTAGAAAGAAGCAGCAGAAGCTAAAGCACGAGAGGCAGCTGAACATTTACGTTTAGAAAAGGAACAAATTCTGCAGCAGATAGAGCAAGAAAGACAAGAACGAAAGAAGGTAACAATTTATTCAAATCAAATCTTGTTCCACTGTTATTTTACATTGTTCTATTGCAATGTAAAAGGCTGCTGTAAGAAAGGAGCTGTCAGCTGCAAAAATACATGATTCAATTACATTCTCAGTATGAAATGCAATAACAAATTACAAACTATTCAGAATTAATTTTTTCAAGTTTATTAGAACTATTAACAATTGTGTTATATTCTGCATCTTACACAATTAATTTGGTAATAGAAGGGTGTTGGCATTACTAATTGATCATTTTACTATTGTTATATACTGTAGATTAGCCCTATCTTGCCTTGGGAGAGGTGGAAATTTTAATATAACATTTCCAAATCATTACAGTACTTCGACCAAATTAAAAGTAAAAGAAGATATGCTATAGATGCTAATAACAACGAGGGCTTTTTTGAAGAGATACCAAGAATATAAAGCAAACAAATAGCAATGGCTTTATGATCTGATTATACATTTGTAGAATCCTGTACATTGATTCAAAGCTTTTTGGAAAATGAACCCCCCTCCCCCCATATTATATACTTCTTTAATTTAGTTGTTAAATGAAGAAAGCAAACTCTTTTTTCTCATTTCAGCGAATAGATGAAATAATGAAAAGGACAAGAAAAAATGAAATAGCAGAAATCAAGGTATTAGAAAAAAGTTCTTTTAACAGGAAATACAGAATGTTGTAAACTGGTTCATCCAGAAATCCTCATATTATTCCCCAACTTTAATTTAACAGAATAACTAGATAACTTAATCTTCTCTCTTGTTGTGTTTGTTGCATGTATTCACTGTGTAAAGGATAGAGGTGAAACAAAGTCTTCTTTAAACCGTCTTAGAGCTATAATGTTTAATATATGGAGTAACTTTCTTCCTTATAAGTGGGAAAACAAACTGTGAAGAATTGTTTTAAGATAACAGATGATAATGGGAGCAAAAGCAATATTCTTCCCTTGCTGTTTTTCCCTTCCAAATCAGTCAGATTGTGTATGGGGAAGAGTTGTGGCTAATTCTTACTTGTTCAAGGTGTGCTACTTTCCTTCAATACAACTGATTTAAATCGAAGATCTTTTCAGTGTTATGTAGAGTCAATGCATGATAGTAAAATTGAAAGCCATTGACTATGAAAACAGTATATATACACTTCTTTATTGATTTGTTACAATTTTTTAAAAGAGAACTGATAAATTGAGATACAGTGCTGGATTCTTTGGTCACATATGTAGTATATGTACTGTATCTATATATAGATGTAGAATGGACTTCTGAACTAAAAGACAAGAGCTGTGTTATTCCTACTCCTCATATACCTCTTATTAATCTTTGCTTTAAATATATAATAGTGATAAAAACACCTTGCAGTCAACACAGTCAGCCTTTCTGTGTGGAATTATAATCCTAAAAATTTAAAGTTATCTGATTGAAGCAGAAATTTATTCAGCCTCTATCCCAGGTCTACCTTTCCTCATGCCCCTAGTAGCTCGGAGGAAAAATGTAGGTTGATTAAAGAGTGTCCCGAATGCAACCCTATTTTTGTGGACCACTTCAGGATTTATTTCTGCAAATCAATTGAAGACTTGGTAGCTTACTTTAGATCCAGAATATACTCTGGTTGTTTTGGATTAAAATTAGCTCCCTCTCTAAATCTTGTGGTAATCAATAGCAGAATATGCTACACTGTCCAAAGTATATTTAAATGAGCTAGGTGACTAATGAAAGATAATGTATTGGTATTGTTTGTTAAGATACAGTTAGTTCATCTTTTATTGCCATTATTATGGCTGTGTTTCCTTTAAAATCATATTATATTATTACATCAACCAGATGTTTAGATTTGACATTTTTAATCCATCTATCAAATCCTTTCCAAGGATGTGAATAATAATAATAACTATTATTTTTAAATTTTATTACAACTGCTCAACTGCAATGGACTGTGGGCAGTATACAAAATTAAAAACAGATAAAACCTAAACCACAGAGCCCAGTCTAAATTTAATAATTTAAATCTAATTTAAAACGGTTAAAAATGACACAAATAAAAAACAACAAAACAGCATTCCTCACCACCAAAAATAATAGCAAAACATTAGCCTGGGATGAACAAACCATGTTTTAAGAAGCCTGAAGCCAGAGACAGAGTGAGATACTTTTTTTAAAAAAAATATGCGTTTATTACAATAACATATAATATTTAAATTCTGGCATGTATTTAATTTGAAAATGACTTCTATCTAATGCATTTATGCATTGTATGTAATGTAATTGTATGTAATGTGTTTGATGACAACAGAAAGAAGACATAAAATCAGATGAGCCAAGAACCTTGAATGTGGATCAATATCCCAACCCACTTGCCCTTAGTCAAGCAGGTAAAATGTGTAATTTCAGTCACACTTGCATACTAATAATCACTCAAAATTCATATCTTCATGAAAGGTGTTGGCTGTTGTCCTTTCTGATCGTATATTCACAAAGCTGAATATTTTAGGATGTTATTCTAGGACCTTACTCCGTAGCTTTCCTATACATATTTTGCTGTTTGTATTATTTTTCATTGTTATGTCTACCCTTTATTTTTGAGTTTGTCTTATTGTTTGGCATTTGGTAGTGCATGATGTAATTTTATTAAGCAAACATTCAGCCTTATTCTTTTTTCCTTTTTTTGCAACATCAGGGAGAACTGTTACTCCTCTCATGTGGAAGAGTGTGTATGTATGTAGATATACGTATGTATATATACACATCCACACCCACACCCACACATAAAAATGAAGACTGAAGTTATTTAGGCAGTGGATGCTATAGTTGCAATGTTTCCAATCTAAGCAAGAAACAGTAACCCAGTTGTAGCACTGGTTAGTCCCTGAGACATTTGGGGCATCTGGCAAGCAAAAGAGTTATGCTTTGCAAAAATTTGAAATTCAAGAAACAGTGCTTACCTATACTAATCAACTGGTTGTTTTCTACCTGCTCTGGCTAATAATCATGTTTCCTAAAAGATATACCCAGAAAGTAGCTCTCTTCCTGGTTTAGTTTGATTAAATCAGAAAGATATTCTAGATTAGCCCTGCTCCTCCTTATAGTGAGTCAGGATTCTGTCTGCACATTGTTATTTAAGCAATATTAGTAGGCATGTATCTTATCTGGAATGATGACAACTCTCTGGATTTAATTAATTTGTTAATTGACTTTGAGTATAGCAGAATTTCCATTCCAAGCAGGTTCCTATCTACCTCATGCAGGAATAAAAGATTATAGAAGCTGAGGCAGTGATGGCAATTATAGAGAAGCATTAGTTTTCTTTCTAGATATGCTAGGTTAGCAATTCAGGTGAAACTCAAAAAATTAGAACATCATGCAAAAGTTCATTTATTTCAGTAATGCAACTTAAAAGGTGAAACTAATATATGAGATAAGACTCATTACATGCAAAGCAAGATAGTTCAAGCACAGTAATCCCACAGTCATTGAACCAGGTTTTAGTGCTTTTGGCAGTGTGGGCAGCTGGAAAATGAAG